GGGTAGTGCCCCGAGGCCATCATTATCTATTGGGGAAGGCAAGTTGTCAGGGAATATGCACATTTCTTCCCCAAAACATACACATTTCTTTTCCATGGTGACCACCATCCCTATTCTCCATCACCCCTAGGGTCCTGTTAACTTAGCATCACTCCCCAAGGACATACCTTCCCCCTGTACCACCACTACCCCTTCAGGTGCAACAGCACCTACAATCAGATTGTCCTCTGAAGCCTCCCTACAACACCTCCAACCTAGACGGTTTTTTGTCCCAAGTGAAAAAAGTCCTAATTACAACCCCAGAGGAAACAAAGGCAGTTTCTTTTACCAAAAGGTTGGGCATAGGGGCACAGTCAGCATAGTATAGTAAAAAGAACCCAAGACAAAAAGCCACAAGATCTCAGTTCAAATCCTAGCTTGTTGACCTGTGAACCCTGTCACCTTGAGCAAATCACTTTCCCCAAAGCTGTGCTTGGGAGCCATGTTTAACAACCAGCTCTTCAAATATATGAATGAATGCATACATGCATGAAAATACACCCTAAGACACTTTTCAATTGAATCTGCATTATTAACATTTTCTCCATCATTTTCTTAAGTGTTGACAATCAGCAAAACAATAAATCAAGCCCTAATCTGTAATGTTTGCCAATTTCCAAAGTGTTTGAAAAAAACAAAAATCTAACACTGGACTCAGGTTCAAGCTGGCTCCAGCACACCCCTGGATTTGATAACCTCTGTCCCTAGACTCAGAGAACCTGAGTTCAAATCCCACCTCTGATATTTACTACTTCTGTGACCTTGGGCAAATCATTTAAGTCACTGGGTCTCAGCTGCCGACTGCTGAGTGAGGAAATTGGACTAGATTGTCACTGAAGTCTCTTTCAACTCTAGATCTTTGATCCTAAAATCCTAAACTGGGTATTACCCCATTAAATTCCATTTAACAACTTTATTAGGGTGCTCTGTGCTAGGCACTGGGAGAGATACAAAACTTAGATAAGACAGTCCCTGCCCTCAAGAGCTCCTCCAGGGCAGGGACTATCTTTTGTTTTCTTTGTATCCTCACCGTTTATCACAATGCCTGACACACAGCAGGTCCTTAAATAAATGCTTATTGACAAACTGACTGACTGGTAGGGATATACATAGATAACTATAAGGAGAGCAGTACATCGGAACAGTGCAGAGGAGAATGCTGCTAGAGAGAGCTACACTTCCTAGGTTTGGCAGAAGAAGGGATGAATTAGAAAAGGTTTTATGAAAGATGTCAGTAATAGTCTCTTGCGTGAGGAGAGGCCTTAGAGATCATGTGATCTAACCACCTCATTCTATCAAAGAAACAAAAGCCCAGAGACATTAAGTGGTTTGCTAAAAGTCACACAGGGAATACATTAACAAGGCTCAGATTCAAACGTGGGCCCTCTGATTCCAAATCTGATGTTCTTATTACTACTCCACACTTTTTCCAGGAGCAATGAGGATGAATGCCACCTACCCCCTGACAGAGAGGTGATGCGCTAATATTCAAAATGAAACATACATTTGTGGACCTGGGCAATACTGGGCTTTGTTTTGTTTGCTTGTGCCTATTTATTACAAGGGTTTTAATTTTCTTTGGGGGAGTGGCAGGAGGCTCGTGGGGGAAGGGAACAAGAGTAAGAGAAAAAGTAAATGCTGTCTAACTGAAAAAAATTAAATTAATTTTTTTTAAAGAGGAGATCGCTATGCTTCTGCCTAGGAAGGCAGAACAGAGAAAATTCCCAAATAGGCTAAATTTAATTTCATCTCAAGAAAGAAACCTATTCCATATGGCACTTTGAGGAGGAGCCAGAACTATTTATTCTTACATTAAGGTCAATTTCATTGATCTGGCTAGGGTTGGGGGAGATAAGTATATGGAGTACATTCTGCTCCAGATGCAATTGCACTAGAAGAGGCAGCGCATCCCCCTAGTGATTTTAGCCAGCGTCCCCAAGGCATAGCAGATGGCTCCTTGTGCTAGGAGGAGGCAAACAGGCAAAGAGGTAGGAGAAGGTGGGTCCCAGGACAAAGGAGCTATGGCAATGGGACCCGCAGGGTGATAAGGAGGCTAGACAAGACAGCAAGCACCCACTGCTAATGTCAGTGCTCCAAGTCAACACCCTGGCTGTCCCACCCTGGTTGTGGCACTAGGAATGGAGACTAACACTTCACCATTAAGATGGGTATCCCTAAAGGAACACAGATTTAGAGTTAGAAGGGAACTCAGAAGTCATCTGGACTAACCCCTTTATTTTTCAGATGAGGAAGCAAAATACGCAGAGAAGGAACTCTAAGGAAGCTCGGGATCTCTGAAGTAAACTCCAGTCATATTTGGCCACAACCAGAATCATAATCTAAGAATGACTCAACAATGCAGGCCCAGGCCTAGGAGCATGAAGCAAGTCTAGTGCAAAAAAGACTCTTTTCTGGTTTTGTTTGTTTGTTTGTTTGTTTTTTGGGGTAGGCAGTGGGGTTAAGTGACTTGCCCAGGGTCACACAGCTAGTAAGTGTTTTGTGCAAAAAAACTCATATCTTAGAGCCATCCATCACCAGATTCTGAATAACTGGCCCCAGAAAATCAAGCTTCAAATGCCTTTTTCCCCCTCCAGTGGGTTCAGCAAGTAGGAGGTTGGGAGCTAAACCCCGCCATAATTGGCCTTTTAGCCCCAAAGTTCCCAGCCCAGCTTGAAACAGTGAGTCCCTGAGCAGCTGAAAGAGCTACCCAGAATCTCCCTCACCCCAAAACAAACTCCCCAGCAGTAGCACCTAGGATCCCTCACCTTCTCCCCACTCCCTTCCTCCAGTGTACTGTCAGACTGAGTCTTTGTGGTAGAAAGCCCTCCCTGGAGAGCACTGGTGACCCCTGCTCATTATTCTGCTGACCTCAGGCAGGGTACCCTCCAAGGTGGAACAGCAAATGCCTTGCCTCCCTGCTGAGCAAGCCCTTACCACAGATGGACAAAGGATGGACTCCCTTTTTCCCTCTCAGAGGCCCCCTCCCCCCTCCAAAAAAAAACCAGCTGCCAGGGCTAAGTTCTTCAGGACCAGGGATCCAGAGAAGGGAGGGGGAAGCAGGGTGGGGGGAGGAGAGGAGGTGGAACCTGACGCTTTGATGGCTGAAAAAGTCAACAAAGGCCCTGTTTCCAAGCCCTCACCCACTGAAGCTTGACTGGAGGAAGCAAGGCAGGGTGTAATTTGAAGTCCAGAGACTGGCCCAAGGGTTAGCCATCCAAAGAAGGTGTGGGAAGGCAGCCCCCTCCCACCCCAACCCCCACACGAGTTTTCTGGCTGTTCATCTCAGGGATTCCGTCCTGATCAGTTCTCATCTTATCTCACACACTGACCCTTTTCCCTAATGGGCAGTGGATCACAATGCTGAGGTCAGAAGTTGGTAATAACTCTGAACAGCACTGCCGAGTTTAAGATAAAACTCATGCCAAATTGGTGAGGGGCCTGTGGATGGGGTGGAAGGCTAGATGATCTCTAAAGACCCTTCTAACCAGAAAACCTCCGAAGCTATGTCACTCAGGGTGGAAAGATGCCAGGATACCAGCTGTCATTTCCAAAAGCAGAGACCCCTCACCCCTGCATCAAAGCACGACTGACTTGCCTAGGTTGGCACTGGAGGAGTCAAAAGAAAGCACAGCCCAAGAACCAGCCACCAAGCATCTTCAGACCTGGTTTAAAAAATAAAAACAACCCTACCCATTTATTTTTTTCCTCAAAAGCAGAATTTCCAGAGCAGTGCCCAGGAATGGCAAGGAAGGAGGACAAGAAAACCTCACAGAAGGGGGTAAGGAGCTAGCTCAGGGGGAGAGGGAGAAAAAAGTCCATTTTAAAAATATAAGTTTAGCTCTATGGCGTCACAACCCACAGGGGACGACTCGTTTTCCTAAGTACTAATTACCTACCAAGCAGGGTACAACACTACATGTTAAGCACCATGTCTGTTCAACCAGGAAACTTCTCTCTCACTCTCCTGTCTTTTTATGTTTACTAGTTATTAGGTGTCCTGCATCCTGCATGCTGGGCTCACACACAATTTTATTGCTCACTGATTCTAATTTCAAAAGACTTTGGTATTTTTTTTAAAGCATCTTATTCCCTTAAATCCAAGGCTTCTTTCTAGGTCTCATCAGGGTACAACGGGAGACCCGTGGGGTTTGGGGAAGAGCGGGGATCCTTGTAAGCAAGTACAGGGTCGTGGCAGATTGTGTATATGTCCACACATATGTGGGTAAACATGCAGTTTTCATGAACATGTATGTGAGCATCGGAGGAGGGGGAGAGAAGGATAGGGAACGTGCTCCCAGTAAGCAAACAAAAGGCTAGCTAAAAGACTTAGCTATGGTAGGAAATGCACAAGCCACCAGTGACATGAATCTCTCTCTCACTTTTCCATTGTGTGTGGATTGAGTTACAAGGCACAAAAGGAGAGGGTCGACAGGATGAAGAAAGCCAGGGAGGCACACACACATCTGTATACAGCCTAAACTACCCGTCCCATTATGGGCTCTCTCTCTACCAGCAATATCATTTGGTGTGTGAGTATGGACTGGATTGACTCATTGTCCAGCACAGCAGGAAATACGCAGCCCAGCAATCTTACAAAGACATTGATTTTTTTCCCCTTCCCTTCCACAGCAAGATCAGATGAGCTCCTGGAGTCACACAGCCTTAACTTTTCAGTAGGGTTTTCTTTTCTTTGTGCATGTGTGTGTGGTGTTTTAATTGTGTCTTTTTTTGGCCCGGATTCTCTTCAACCCCAACTCCCTCCCTCCACCCCACACCCGCACCCCCACCCCAAAGCAAGGAGGGCATGTGCCGATTATCTTCGAGTGCAGTCTTCACACAGAACAACCTGGGATTGGAGGATACTAGAGGTTTGGAAATTAGAGGGGAAGGGGGAAAAAAAATTAATTGCAAAGGAAAAACAAGCCGGCTCTGCTACTTTGATTCAATCAATTACCATTATCTTTCTCAACAGCTCTCCTCTCCCATCCCCCCAAACCAGTTGTGTTTAACTTTCTTTGCCAGTTGTGATATCCTGTCAGATTTCTGGCGGTGCCATGATGCCCGCTCCTTCTCCTTGCCGGGCCCTTATCAGCCTCTCCCAGTCAGCTCCGGCCCAGCACAGCTGTTACCCAGTCCCTCAGTCCCTCCACTTTATCTGCTCACACAGACCTCGGCCTGGCAAGCGGCGGGCCAAGCGGCTGCTCGACATTCCCTGGGAAGCAGGCACAGAAACAGCGCCGCATTACTCCCACAATCCACTGGGAGTTCATTACACAGCCAGGGCTCCTTCGCTAGTCAGCCAAAGTGCAGGCCTGCAGCAGCCCAACCCCTCGCCATCAGAGCTTCATCATTAAAACTCCAACCTTCTGAAGAGAATAAAGAACAAAACCACAAATTTAGATTAATAAAGCATTTGTTGATTCTACAGAAACTTAGCAGGCCCCTAAGAAATCCACCAGAGACCCGTGGAGCTCCAGTAATTTTCTGTTATATTATCTTTCTTGTAAAATACTTCCCCAGACAGAGTCCCCAAAGGGGCTCAAATATCACTGTGACTAACCAAAATCAATGTGCACTCACCTATTGACATTTTTACATAGTTTTTGGATTTAGTATCCAGCCCAAAACACAATCAAATCTTCTGCCAAGGAAATAACAGGCACTTAGCTAGTCAGCTATTAGTATTACAAAGGAAAAAATGCAGGCACCCAAGGGACATGGGAGAGACGCCATTGACGTCAGGGGGTAATTGGGTGTCTGAGAGAAATTGCCAACGGCTGGCCACGCTCCCCAGGGGCCCACACAAAGCTGAGCTCTAACTCTAATAAAGGAAAGGAAATTCTAGAAAAGGGGGCTTTGCTACAAAGGAGACCAGGAGACCTGGCAGACACCAAAAACAGCCCTTTCAAAATAAATAAATAAAGGTATAAAAAATAAAACAACTATATCAAAGAGGGCTTCTGTCCCTTCCACCCTCCCCCAACCCCCCCTTCACCTTCCCAACTAACACCAGCCCTGTTTGTACATCTGTTTGGGGCTAATGGACTTTCTTCTCCTCTCTGGGACCACATGGTTCTTTTATGCTGAGCGTATGGTTGCCATCTATTGCTATAAACAGGATCCTGGGCTTTCCAAGAAAACTTACTTTTTGAAATTCCATGGTTCCAAAGGAAAATATCTTCACCATCTACTCTGAACCTGGTGAAGAGAGAGGGATTTCCTATCGGGTTTGTTTTGTTTTGTCATTGTTTTTCAAACAAAATAAGAGCCCCATTAAATGAAAATTAAAGTGTTTTCTGCTAGTACCATTCCCATTAGAAGCCCAGCTCTTCATGAAGTTCATGCTTTTCTTGATGTCCCCTCCACACTTTCCTCCTCCCAAAAAAAAAAAACCCTTATGAGATGAGTTTTCTTTAAGACTAAGTGGCAGGTAGAGGCTGAGTGATTAAGACCTTCTTCGTATCCTAAATGAATGCCAAAGGGAGGAGGGAAGGGATGCATAAAACTATCCTTACTGCTCCTTACCAGTCCACCTACCCATGGGACGATTCAGGGATAACAGACTCAGAGAATGTCAGAACTGGAAGTGATCATAGAGATTATCAAGTCCAACTCCCTGATTTTACAAAAGCAAAAATCAAGGTCCACAGAGGGGGAAAGACCTTCACAAGGTTGCAGACGGAATGACTGGAACCACAACTGGGCTTGATGTCAGGAAAAACTTCCTAACGATTACAGCCCTTCCCAAGCAGAGCAGGCTGCCTTCCCAAGATGTGGATTCCCCCTCATGGAGGTCTTCAGAGACCGGATGACCACATACAGAGCACACTGTAGTAGGAATTTTTTTTTCAAGTATCTGTTGGACCAGATAGCCACTGAGGTCTCTTGCAAATCTAAAATTCTGTGGATTTGAGGCCTGGAATCCAAATCACTTGATTCTCTACCCAGTGCTTTTTCCCCTACTGCCTGTTCTTATTGTCTTAAAAGTGAAAATACTGAGACAACCAACCAGGAGTCAAACTTGGACCCTTTGTGTTATCCATTAATTCACTGATTCTGCCCAGTCTCAGGGAGCAGAGGTCCCAGTCCGCCATGTTAGGCTCACAGCCTCTCTTTCTCTGTGTACATCAGATGTCCTACAAATGAACCCAAGCAAAGCTGCTTGGTAATACAAGCATTTAAAGCCAAGTTAGCCACCTGGGTCAGGAAGCAGAGGAAGACTGGGGAAGAGGGATGGCCGAAGTAAGATTCCCAGTGTCAGATGCTATTTCACAGTTCATAAGAAGAAATAGAAAAAAGTCCCAGATCTGAAGAAAGGGGAAAAAATGCAAACCGAACAGTATTTGGGAATTGGCATGAACTTAAAGCTTTGCTGCTAAAAATGTAAAATCCATATCACTAAGCCTTCACCTTTGCAAGGGGCCAGTTCCAGATCACAATGCTTTCTCTAGCACCTCCTTC